ATTTTCCATCTATAAAGTACATTACATTGCCTTGAAATGACATAATTGCCCATAAACTTAGATAAACAAGAAAAAATAATTTATATAAAGAAGAAAATAAATCAGGAGCTCCATTTCCAACATCACACCCCACCACCACCCACCAGCGCAACCCCATACCACACAACCGCTAGCACAAGAGAAATGAGATTTTTGGTGAACAAAAGAGGATTTGAAATGAAATCTTCGCCAAGCTCTTTCAAATCAACTGTAATGCTAAGAAATTAATCCAAATTGCATCACAGGAAAAATACAATTCAAAAGGAAATGAAATGGGTCAAAAATATGAACCTACAAGGACGGAACTATTGAGAGAAAAATGAGGTGCTGAATTTATATTTCTCTTTTGCCCAAGCGTGATTTGAAGTGTGGAACTCAGTGATTGGAGGATACAGTCACCATGGGAAGGCAAAGAAGGCTTTTCGAGTGGATGAAAATGTTGAGACGAGGCTTGATACTAGATCAAGTAATGTTTATAACTCTACTACCTTCTTGTAGCCATTGTAACCAGTGGTTTTGGGTCATGGGTTGTAGCTGGTGGGTTTAGGCTTGGCAACACTATTGCTGGTGAATAAGGGCCGAGGATTTTATTTTTATTTTCTCACTTTCTATTTTCTTTTTCTTTATATAAATTAAATTTTCTTGTTTCTTTAAGTTAAGACCATCCATGAGGACGGACCCCGCTAATTAATTAAAGGATTGAGGTTCGGCTTGTCATAAAAGAAAAAAAGTTGGGGAGAAGATTGCGAAAAAGGTCAAAGGCTGGGGATGGTGGTCATAATGTACCATATAATTCTTAAACAGAAGGGCCACTGTATCTTAGATTCTTTATTCTACTTCAGAAACTGATTGAATTATTTAAGGATGTTTATCCTTTGAATCACAAAATCATGTTCCCCTTCAAATTGTTCTTCTTACGGGCCAGGGCTACAGTGTTCTGTTGATTGTCCCTTGGTTTTGATCCTCTCGGGTGTAGTTATTCTGTTTGCGGCTTACTGCTATATTAACACATATGCTGTTTTTAAGAAATTGGGACACAAACACCTGGTCTGGCATATCTGTAAGGACGAGGACAAAATAAAGATGTTTTCAACACAAAAAACTAAGGAGCACTCCATAAATAATGAGTGCTGAGCTAAATGATATTCGCTCAATATATCTCAGCCTCCCAACCTAATTTATATCATGTGTCATACACAAGCTACAATTTGTTCTTTAAAGCTTACCCTTCGAAGAAACAGATGTTCGCTGAGGCCAGATTGGTTGGGGTCCTGTAGCATGAAATTTTGGCTAGGATAGATACCAAAGGCCCTCCGTCCCAATGACAACAATTTAATTTATACTTATATTAGCAGGCTTGCTAAGGTGGACAAATAGATATTTTGGAAGATATCATTGCATAGTTTAACAGAATTAAATGTGAAAAAATTATGGAATACAATCCTAATTCTCAAAGGATAGTTGTGACGACATTTTCATGCCATCAGATAAACATTCGGCAAGCTTGCCCAATGGCTAGTCAGATGAATTTAAAATGCTTTGACATATAGTCATAGACCTAATATTCATGTCACTCCTCAAGGCAAGTAGCGTGGCAAATATGAGTGCTGCTGTCCAGAATCATACAGACACTAAAACTCAATGTTTGAATTGTGTAGAAGGGAGAAAGGAGATCATTTGCATCAAATGCATGAAAGAACCAGTAGAAAATCACACCTTCTGAAACCAAAATTTCACGCATCCCTTCAATCGCCAAGGTTTTAGTGGTCACTAGTATAGCTATTTGTCTGTTCCTTTGAGATGGTATGAACTACTTTTGGCAAACTGATTCCCAAGAATCACAAGGTGAGCTTTGTATATGTTGGCACGAAACTCCACGATTAAGGAACTTATTGATGAAAAAGAAAATCAGGCCAAGATTATATCCTACTCAGCTTGACAGTTAAAAAACGATTTTTAATTCCAACAACCAAGGGTACTAAACCTCTCATCTTACTATTGAATACACTTCATTCTAAAAAGATCCATACTAGTCATTCTGAAACAAGAGAAAGAGAATTCAGGTTTTCCAGGCAGCAGAAATCTTTACACGTAAGTGCCATATCTCAAGAATGACCCGTGCTATAAATGCAAACTAAAATTGACAACCTAAATATTAAGAAAACAACAAATCAGGCATGGACATATTATTAATGTTACTCCCTCAGATTCAACAATTATGCAATTGCCACATTGCCCGTTGTCTGAAATAGGATCAGAACAATTACAAGACACCACAATGACAAATATAACAAGCACCACTGATAATACACTCCTGAAAAGCCAAAGTACCTTAGAAGTGAACTCCTTTGTCCCTGCTTGTACAACATTTGCAGCTGACTGTGCGGCCGATGCTGCCACCACAGATAACCTACCAAATCCCTGTGTACACAGAACCACATTAGTAACACTGAACACATAAATAGCCAAAAAATCTGCATAAGCACATGTACGAATGCACCTCAGTAACAGACGAAAGAACGTCCCCCTGAGAATTGCTCCTTGGCACCGGAGGAGGGGTTGACCCAAAGCCAACATACTTCCCACCTTTGGAGGGTGGGATCCCCTCAGGCCGTGTCTCATTATCTACCATCTTCCGAGCAAAGAAGTCCTCCTTATTTGCAGCCGATGCCTCCAATTGTTCCCGGGAATAAATATTCTGGGTCGACTTCGACCTCGACGGTGCACCTACCCCATTTCCACCACTCCTAAAATCTCCAACCGTATTATTCCTCCTAATATTATTATTCGAATTTCCACTAAACCCTCCATCATCATAACTATCCCAATTATCCCACCCGGCATTGTTTCCAGAATTACCATTCCTATCCCCACCACCTAGCGGAGGTTTATTATTATAACTATTACTCTTATTACCGGATCTGATTGTTTCTTTCACGACAGGGGGGTCACGCCAAAGTTTGCCTTCGGCAAGTGATTGAATCCGGTCTCGATAAACAGATGCAGCATTGGTATTATATTTCGTAACAATATCAGTTTCTTTAGGGATTCCATATTGCAAAATAAATTGATTAAATCTTTCATTCCCGCTAAGCTCCATTTTCTTCAATTGGATCTCGGACCACGAGTCCATCGTCACAGATCGAACAAAGGATATATGAACGCCAAGGCCGCGGTGCTTGCCAGAGCACTCAAGGCACATGAAAACGCCGTAAGAGACGGAGGCCCATTGCGGATTCTTCTGCGAACAATCCACGCAGATCTTGTTCCCTGGCTGCGATTGGAGCTCCCGTAGCCGACGCGAAGCAGCCATTGATAGGCTTTGAAACGAATCTCAAGAGATTCAATGAACGTGATCAGATCAAAGATTGCGTATTATTGAAATTGAGGATGAGAGTATGGAAAAATTTAGAAAAAGTTGGAGAGAGACAAGGAGCGTGATGGGAAATGGCCGACAAACGTTAGAAACGTTTGCGGTGGATAACGGCTGGGATTAAGTTTGAGCCATGGTTAGTTTGGGTCGATTTTGAGCTTAATTCGATTCCGTAATAGTCCAAGTCAATTTGGGTGAATTGAGGTTCAAATCGATTCAATCTTGTTGCAAAAATTGAATCAATTTGGTTCGAGTCCGTTCATCGATTTGGTCTTAGCCGAAAATAATCTTGGAAATCAATATTGAATTATGCAGATGTGCGACAATTTTAGCGGACAAACTTAGAATTTGTCGAGCAAATATCAAATTTGGTAGGTAAAAGTGGAGTGTGATAGACAAATATCAAATTTGTTATGCAAATCTCGATTTCGAAGTTAGATAGTCGAGCAATTTTTGAGGTTGTTGATGATATCAAGTTTATTGTGTAAAAAGTGGGGGCCACGTGTGAGTAAAGAAGTAAAAATGACGGTTAGAAGAGTGAAATAACGGTTAAAAATTCAATTTTTTGGGATGAAAAATCACTACCGAACGAGGGCTACATGTGGATTCGTTCGAGTTAAGTCAAATCGGATTAGATGTTTGACTCGCAACATGACTTGACCCAATTTGATTTGGGTTATTCATTATCTGATCGAAATCACTAAACTTGTAAAAATAGACTCAAATCGACTCGAGGGGTTTGTGTTGAGTTGATTTTGTTAATTAGGCGGGTTTTCTACCAAAGACTTTGATGGTGTTTCGCGCGGGTTAAGTTGCTAACAATTAAAAAGAATCAGACGATTGTGTAAGGGACGAAACCTCTTGAGACAAAGTCCCAAAAATGGGTGTTCTTTTATTGGCGATGAAGTTTACAATTGGAAATGAAAAACAGCGTGCCTCCAAGGGGTGCAAGCACACGAGTTACAGAAAGAAAATTATTTAAACCTAAAAGTTAAGGAAATGAAAATTACATATTTCTCTGTTCGAGAGTTTTGGATTCGGTCCCTTACTTCTACGTCATTTCTTCCTTTTATACCTCATAGACAATCTCTTTGTGATTAACTACTCTGAAAACTGCTTGATCGTCCTATAACTACCCACTTTCTTTGTAGTGGTCATTTTGTCATGAAACTGCCTCTTAATCGCTGCCATTATCTTTCATCGTTCAACCGCTTTCGATTGAATCCCTTGAGTTGTGGAACGTGATAGGGCTACTTTAACAACTGCCTTGATAACTGTATTTCTTGATAACCACAATGCGTTATGCTTGTTGATATCTTGGGCGACTTGAAGGTCTGGGCGGGAATAAAATAACAGCTCTGGGCGACCGTATGACACTCCATTCGTTCAAATTCTAGGCGATTTGCAAACTTGGGCGATGGCGTTACCGCACTCTTGGGCCCTTTATTTGGGCCTTCACCTTGATTCGTTCGATTGGACTTCATTCTTTGGGCTATCTGATTTGGGGATCCTCCAATTGAGCTTTACTCCTTGGGCTATTCGATTTGAGCTGAGTTTTTATGTGTCAACAGATAGAATGCAAGCAAAATGGGTAGTCTGCTGCGTATTGTGCCTCTTTTTAAAGGATAAAGTTAGAATCTAATTTTTGAAACAATAGATTAAAAATTAAGGAAAAAAATTTATATGCCTTAATATAAAATAGCAATTCACATCTGACTGTGATGATAATGTTAATTAAAAATACTGAATAGAATGTTAAATATTTTTAAAAATACTAGTTTCCAAAATTAAAACCATAATTTGTAACTGATGTGTTTTTGAATCACTTCAATTTACGTCTTTCAATTAAACGTCCTTCCATAAACAAAATTTAATTTAAAAATAAAAGAAAAAAAAGATGAAGATTGTAGACAAACACCTAAACACAATCCAAAAACAGAAACATTACTACAGTGAAAAACATACTTTGAATTATCGTAATCTTCCTATATCGATCAATATAGATCTCCTTGGTAAAATTCTACATTCTTGCTACAATATAATCATGCCTTGATATTCAACTCGTTTCATCATTGTGTATGTGTCTATGCATGCAATCCAAAATCCATTTAAAAAATGTTTGGCATTTGATGATTAGAAGTTTTGATAATTTCTTGGTGCTTGATTCTAGAGAAAAGAGAGACGATTTAGGTGGATATTTTGGTTGGAAAATCAAAGGACTCCATTTTAGGGATTTGGTGATTAATGTCATGTTAAGGGAGTGTTTTTTGGAGCGTAAGTCAAGGGCGCATTTGTTGGAGTAAATTTAGCTACTAAATGAATAGCCCCTATGATTTGATTAAGTTTTCACATTTCTATTTTACCATTATAAAAAGGAAAATGCTACAAGTACCAAATGGTTTACCAAATTGACAAGTGACGAACCCCTATTGAAAGGCGGCTGTTTATTGGGGGCCGCCACTTGTTAATTCGGTAAACCATTAGGTAAACTATTTGGTACAAATAGATTAATCCTTATAAAAAACAGTATTTATGGTTAAACAAAAGTTAAAAAGTATATTCTAAATATTTATTAAAAAATAGAGGTGTGGCATAATTTCCTCTAAAACGGAACTAGGACTACGAGTAATTTCCTCAATCTAATATGTAATAGTGACTGCAATTTGAGACTTGGGTTGAAATTTGTCGAAATTAGTCCTTGTTTGATTTAGAATTTTTAGAAGTGATTTCTTTGGGGAATGTATAGTTAAAAGTAAGAAAAAATTATGGACCGAAAGATGTACGATTGAAAAATGAATTTGAGAAAAAGTAATTTTCAAAAAATCAAACAAGGACCTGATATGGAAATTTAATGTATTTTCATATTCCTATTAAAAAGTTAGTCATCTCGTCCCGTCATTTGATCATGACCTGTTTAAAACGTAGTTGATTCAGATCTCAAACTAATGCATTGCAAAATTAATGAGAACCATAACCATTATAAATAAACTATTGAGGGGGAAAAAAGGAAGAAAGAGAGAGACTATGGGACCTTAGCATCAAGATGGTTAATGCAGCTAAAAGCACATAAATTGTCTGTTTGCCAGTGCATAAGAGTGATGTGATATCGGTTCAACACATCGAAAGAAAGGGTTGGCCAAAATGAAATTAAAATGGATAACATCAAACCTCAAGCAGCAAGATGCAGCAGTCATCTCATTTTGCAATGTTCAAGAAGCACGTTGGGAAAATACTTTCTCCATCTGAAGTGTGAGAAAAAGAAAACCCGCGACTGAGATGCAGAGTGCAGCGAGCATTATCACAACCATAGTCTGAAATGAAATATATGAACTCAAAAAGTAGACAACTGCAATTGAAATGCTTTGCCAAAGCTTAAGCTGTGCAAATGCTCCCTCCTGCAACCAGAATTCAGGTATAAGACTCCAAGAACCAACTTAAGATACAACGAGAAACCAAGCAAGCAAATGGATGAAGCTAAGTGAAGTCCAGTTATGGAATGTTGAAAAGAAATGATACTCAATTCTTTAAGCAAGCGACAAAGACTTGTTGTGCAGATTGGTACGCAATACTGTATACAAGATGGTACGATGAACAAGATTTTAGTTTCTTATTATTTCCTAGGACTGTCTAGTGTTTTCAAATAATATGCCAGTTCTGTTTGCTACTGAAATGGTGCGTTATAGATTGCAACATTATGCAAACCATTGTAAATTTCTAATAACATACTTCTAGCATTGGAAAAAATGGCAGAAAGTGGAGAAAATTTTACCAGGTCATGCTTGAAGAGAATTCCAAGAAAAGCACTTAGCTGCGTGTTCAACACACCATCACCTATGCCCCACATGCCGCCGATGAGTAGTAGGTATAATGTACCGAGCAATCCTCCAGAGATACTAAATGAGACAAGAAAATACTAAACTGATAATTTGATAGGCTTAAAATCTTTTAAATAACTTAGCACTCTGGGTTCTCCAAAACTAGGAGTGCAAGAGTTGATAGACAACCTGTAGTTCAGCAGGAGCAAACACAAGACAATGGCCTGAATGAAAGCTCCAAGAGAAACTATTAATGTAATTGACGACAGACCAGAGGTAAGTCGACCAGCTGCGACCGAACACTAAAACAATTCCAATAACAAGATGAGAGATTAAAGAAGCTGGCCCAGTATTAGAATGTGTGGCTAAACTTAAAAAGCCAGTAAATGTTACTATTTACGTAATTGTTGCCACTAAACATGTTTGGATAGTTTATTTTTCTTACTTCTAAGTAAAAAATTACTTATTTTGAAGGCAACTATTACCCTACTGTCAAATAAATAACTTACTACCTCATTTAACCATTAAAACTTAGTTATCTGCTTGCAAATAGACTTTACTCATAATTAAACTATTAAGTTTAACTAAACACGCTCTTAGTAGAAGCAGCTAATTCAATACATTGGGAGATGCTCCTTTCAGAGCAGCCCACAACTTCGAAATGTGGTAGTACTAAATTCAATTTCTGGATGCCACAAATGATATAATGAATATGCCGTCCATAATACCAGAAAATCAGATATACAGGTCTTCAACGAGTGAACCTGAAGAAATCGCATATGGCATTTTGAGGAAAATGATGCTATAATTAATATTCACGCCAAAACTGTAAAATATGAGCAAATAAAAAAAGAAAAAAAAAAGACAAACTTACCATTCGAAATCTCCTATAATATAAAAGGGGCATATCAGCCCAATGGTAATTGCTTAAGAAGGCAATAGCAGAACAAATACTTGTAAGGATAGTTCGTAAAGTTATTCACTCATCAGATTTTCAAATCCAACCCAGTCAACAGAAAGAGAAAATACTTGATTTGCTGGATCAAGATTTATGTAAAACATGTTGAATCACCTCATCCAAAATCTTAAGTTCAGAGAGGACAAACTTATTTATTTAGATGGTCTTTACACAGCCCTTCACATTTAAGTTGGATTAATTTTTTTATTAACGGCCCGACACTTGCACAATTTTTGTAAACGGGTGTAGCCAGACTTGAACACAAGACATGTAGCTATTCTGATACCATATTGAACCACCTAATCTAAAAGCTTAATCTTGGAGAGGGCAAATACGTTTACTTAAATTATGTCTTAAAAAAAAAAAAAAAAAAACAAACAAACGTCTTCCTTATCAGAATCTAGAAGTTACAACAGGTTTGTTTTGCATTTTTGTACTTACAATAGCATCAAAGACCCCATAAACAGCCATGGCACCGCCAACACCACGCTCGCCAAGTGTAGGCTTGATAAGATATTTGGTATACTCCGCCCTGTAAAGGAAAAAAATTGGATAATAACGAGCTCAGAAGCTGATAAATATAAAAAATGTGATAGTATTTGCATCATAACATTCTGAGAACCTTACCATACAAATGCTTGTTGTAAGCCTGAGTATGCAAGAAGGGGGATGACCAAGAGGATTCTAATGTCGAGTAATAGAGCCAAAATAGTCTTTAACAGAGATACAACTGCAGAAAAAAAGGTGGCAGACGAATCTTGCAGTTCCCCCTCTTTATCATTTCTTTTACTCAAGAAGCACATAAGAATTGAACCTATGGTCGAGCTACAGAGAAACATAACAAAAAGAAAAGTTGTGCCTGTGGTTTTCCCTCCCTGTTGTTAAACTACTGCATCAATTAGTAACTTCGAATATATATAAACCTGAACATTACAGAATTCTTAACTTTCAAATGAGTATGCTAGCACTCATTTTCTCGGTTTATGCATAGGAATTCACCGTAGGCATCCTCAAAAAAGCGAGAATGTTTAACGAATCATTTTTTTTTTTTTTTTTTAATTCTTGATTCACGGGGAAAACTATCAATATTATGATAGGCACATAGAGCCAGTTGTTAATTAAGAGATCAATAACACCATGATCAACCCTCAAACTCTTTCTTTTCTTTTCTTTTCTTTCTTTCTTTCTTTCTTTCTTCTGTTTTTTCAAAAACGAAATCCTATTAGATGTCCATAATAGCAGGTTTTGAGTCCAAGTGAATGAGAGAATAAAGGAAGGAAAGAAAACAAATTAAATTAATTTCTACTACAATGTTTTGCCTCAGAGCTCGTCAAGAACTGGACAAGTCATAGGTGAAGATATTAACACTGATTCCACCAAAGGTACTTGTATGTTGCACTTAAATTATAATTAGCATATGATGATTTTTTTTACAAATGTGAAATAGAAAGATTGATAATTACAATAAGAAAATCCAAATTGCAAGTATGTGTACCTTTCCATCTCTTAACAAAGCAAGAGTGATAAGATTGCCAACGAGCTGCATAATTCAGTTGGAGAAAGAATTTGTTTGTAACATATTAGAAATATACACTAGAAGTTAGAAAGTGAAGTGTAACTACACCTGGTGACATGCAAACATCCCCCAGAACTCTCCATTAAACTTTCCAATCACCGCTCCTTCATGTAATTCATAGTCATTTGCATGACTACGTGCGGTTGAAGTAAGATACGTCCCCTGAGAAAACCAAAAGGTTTAGAAAAAATAACAACATTAACTGGACAAACCAATCATAATGAGACATGGAAGTAAATAATGCGTCAAACCTGCCCAACCCATATTAATGAAGATGCAAACCCAAGGAACAAAGAAGCCGGAACCATAGTATACCTACAATAAGAAAGAATAAATGCTACTACATTAGAAATATTAACAAATCAAACAATTAAGATTCTAAATAAAAATCACATCAACATATTTTCAGAAGTTCAATTTAGGTTTATTCATCCTATAAGTTTCAAAATCCTCAAATCGGCAAAATCCACAAGGTAAAATTGTTGTCCTGCAAAAATTTACAATAGATAGATGTGTCAACCTATTTCCAACTAGAAAGCATGTGATGTTCTTTGTTAGATAGGTTCATAGATCTTTCTAGATGGAAATGTTCAAAATATCAATGTCTCCATCATGGAATAAGTTTCCAGTGAGTATAACAATTAACAATATTACAGTTTTCAAAGTGAAAAACACATCACAGAATTACATAAAAGAAAATATGAAGAATCGATTTTGATACATTAATGATGCAGCTATACGGACACGTGTATCCGATGTGTCAGACACGCCAACACTCAATTTTTCAAGAAAGTAAAGACACGATATGTTGATAAAAATTCTTTAAAATTCTTCATTTATATAGTATAAATTTAATTTTATACTTCTTATTAAATTTTCTTGTTGAAATCTTTTAAATACGAGCATTTCTTTGTTATTTAATAATAATTTTGAGTTAAAAATATATAATATTTTTGATAAAGAAAGAAAAATGACTATGATAGAGTGTCCAAGAAGTGTAGATGAACTTACCATCCTAGTTGAAGTGTCTGTACAATAGAGTGATACATGAAGTCCGAATGATATATTTAAGTACAAAATACATTTGTTCAACCCGGCTTAGATTATTTAAATCAAACTTAGCAGTACTTGAAATCGTTTCATACAACTGCTTTGCATTGAAAATTTACTTCGAAGGCCGTAAAAATGAAAGGTTCGGTATTAACAAGACTCGCACACACGGAGATAATTATCCAACTTGGAAAAGAGCCATGAAGATGGCTTTAAGTGCAAAAAACAAGTTGGATTTTTGCATGGAAGCGTGAAAATGTCTTGAGCCAATTCTTCAGAAGTAAAAATTCAGGAGAGATGCAATGACATAGTTCTTTCTTGGTGCTGTATGAAACTAAGAAGAACCTTGCCAGCAGTCTCAATCCTCGAACTCTTTGGTTAGAGTTGGAGGAGCATTTTTCACAAAGAAATTATCCACGATTTATGAACTCAAAAGAGCTATATGCAATAATCGCCAAGAAAAAAAATTCGTGAGTTGTTTATTTTAATATGTTGAAATCCTATTGGGATGAATTTGTAGGAAAAATTGTTACTGTCAAAATAGCCGAATCTATCATGTTGGATCATCAAGAACATAAACTAAAGCGAAATCGTACTTGAATAAGACATTATTAATTGCAACGATTGAATCCTGCGGTTATGTCTTCCAAATCAACAAGCAGCTCTTTTTTCTCTCTGATAATGAGAGGCAGACAGACTGAGCAATACTTATGATTTAGAGACCATAACAGTGTTTACATACTTATTGCATGTTAACCTAATTCAGCCCATCATAGAATTAGGAATAATGGCCCGGTCTCTACACATGGAAGCCCATACTTTAAATTAGATACATCAAAGCCCAAAATACCGAAACCTTAGTAGATCATTTTAATTGGGCTTAACCAAATTTGATAGCCTTTAGTTTAATACACAATAATTCACATATATAAACCCACATGATCGATTAAAATTCCTTACAATCTCCCACTTGAGTTATATGTGTCATCTTATAATTGTGCATTAAACATAATTTTATGAGTACTCAGAATTTTACTATCATTACCAAATGCACCACCAAACAATCCAGTTCATCAATCGTATCAACATAGGATTAAAGCGGCTTTCGCTACTTTCATCATAACTAAACCCATCAATGGTCACATATATTGATATAACTGAATGACATGGATCAAGTATAGATGCGTAGCATAAAAATTACATGTGATGTGAAATAAACATGCCTATTTCCAATTGGTCTACCTTAATACCTTAGTGAGATCATTTTCAAGTAAGTTCAGGGATAATAAACTAAAAACCTTATAGCTGAAAATAATTTTAACCATAAACCATATTCAAAATAACAGTACATGTGTCCAATATGAAAAGCAAAAATAAAACTCCCACTGAAACTAAACATCCTCAAGAGATATTACACCCATATGAGCCGTGTGCTCATGAAAGGCCTTGAATATCAATCTCTTAGTAAGGGATCCGCAATCATGAAGTTTGTCCCAATACGCTCTATTGACACTTGTCCACTTTGAACTTTTTCTTTAACAGTTAGGAACTTGATTTCTATATGTTTCAACTTCGTCGAGCTCCTGTTGTTATTGGCATACAGCACTGCTGATTTATTACCACAAAATAACTTAAGTGGTCTTTCAATACTGTCCACAATGCGCAGCTCAGCGACAAAATTTCGCAGTCATATTTCATGGTTTGATGTCTCATAACACGCTATAAACTCCGCTGCCATGGTGGAAGTAGTTATGAGTATCTGCTTAGCACTCTTCCAGGAAATAACACCCCCAGGAAGCAGGTAAATATAGCCTGAAGTGGATCTACTACTATCTTGACATCCCGCAAAATCTTAATCAGAATAACCTATGATCTCCAATTGATTCGATCTCTTGTATGTGAACATGTAGTCTTTTGTTCTCTATAAATACCGCAGGATCTGTTTGGCTGCTTTCCAATGATCTATTCCCGAATTACTTAAATATCTCGCTAGCATCCCAATAATATACGCTATATCCAAGACTCGTACAAAACTGAGCATGCATCAGACTCCTTATAGATAAGGAATAATGAATCTTCTGCATTTCTTTAATTTTCAAGTCATTTTTAGGACACTAATTTAAACTGAACTTGTCTCCTTTAGCCACAAGGGTGCCACGTGGTTTATAATCTTGCATGTCATATCTTTTAAGTACCTTTTCGATATAACTCTTTTGTAATAATCTAAGAATACCCCAAGAACGATCTCTGTGTATCTGAATTCTTAATATAAAAGAGGCATCACCAAGATCTTTCATCTCAAAAGTCTTTGTTAGAAATCTCTTGGTTTCGTACAATAGGCCTATATCGTTGCTGGCTCTAAACTTGTGGCATTTACAATCATCGACCAAATTCATCTCAAAATCAAATGAGATGATCACCTGATGAAACTTGTAATAATATTGACGAGAAACCTATTCAAGTCCACAGATGGATTTCTTTAGTTTACAAATTATTTGCTTTGCATCATCCAATACTAAGTTTTTTGGTTGTACAATATAAATTGTTTCATCAATGTTACCATTTAGAAACGTTGTTTAACATCCATCTGATGTCACTCAAGATCGAAATGCATTACCAATGCCATTATAGTCCTGAAATAGTCTTTCAAAGAAACCGGAGAAAAAATCTCTTTATAATCGATGCATTCTTTCTATGTAAAGCCCTTTGCAACAAGATGAGCTTTTACCTCCCTACATCACTTTTCAAATCCCTCTTGGTCTTAAATATCCATTTTCAACCAATGAGTTTCGCACCTTTAGGTAATGGAACGAGGTCCTACATGTCATTGTTCTTCATAGACTTTTATCTTTTCATTTATGGCATTGAGCCACTTTTGAAAGTTAGAACTTTCCATGGCTTGACGGAAGTTGATCGGATCATCTTCTACCATTCCAATGTCAACTTCATATTCTTGAAGAAATACGATATAATCATCCGAAACCGCACTTCTCCTCTCTAGTGGATTTTCTTAATAGCATTGGTTCTTGAGATTGTAGAGTTTGTTCTTCTAGAACAATTTGTTGATCATCTGAGGAAGATACAACGACATTGTTTTGATCCTGAGTTGCTTCTTGAACAATGTCAAGGATAAAAACTTGATCATTATCAATGGCAATTGAAGGAATTTCAACATATTCCTTCTCAAAGACAAAGCCTGTAACCATTTTTCCCCCTCTTCCCTCCCCCGCAAACTCAACATCTTCAAAGAACCAAGCATGTCTTGTCTCGAAAATTGCCTTAGTTGTGGGATCATAAAACTTGTAACCCCTGGGCCTTTCAAAATATCCAATAAAATGGCAGCTAATGGTTCTTACATCCAGTTTCTTTTCATTTGGCTTATAGGGCCATACCTAAGCTGGACATTCCCAAATGTGTACGTGCTTCAGCTAGGTCTCTTGCCCGTCCAAAGCTCATAAAAGATTTTAGCAGTGGCCTTAGTTGGAACTCTGTTGAGTATATACGTCAAGATTTTTTGTGTTTCACCCCAGAGAGATTCTGATAAAGTAGAATGACTAATCATACTCCTTACCATATCCTTAAGTATTCTATTTCCTCTTTCAACAATACCATTCATAGCGGACGAACCCGGCGTAGTATACTGTAGGACGATACCGCATTCCTCTAAAAATTTAGTAAATGGTCCTGGACGTTCACTTGAACCATCATATCTCCCACAGTATTAACCCCACGGTCAGATCTGACGCTTTTAATCCTTTTGTCGAGTTGGTTCTCAACTTCAACTTCATAGTTTTGGAACACATCCAACGATTGTAATTTTTCATTAATGAAATATATGTAACCATATCTTGAAAAATTGTCTATGAACATTATAAAATATTGTTGACCATTACAATAACTCGTAGAAAATGATCCACAAATGTCCTTATGTATAAGTTCTAAGACATCTAAAGTCCTGTTGGCTAGAAATCTCCTTTTACTGGTTTGTTTTCCCTTTATACAATTAACACACAAATCATTATTTGCGAAGTCAAGAGGGTCGAGAATTTCGTTAAACACAAGTTTCTCAATTCTCCTCTTGGAGATGTGATCTAATCTCTTGTGCCACGAGGCAAAATTCTCGTCGGTTAATTTTCACTTTACACCTCGAGTACTTACATATAAGGATTCACTAAAAGAAGCAATTATATCAATTAAATAAAAATTATCGCAACATGATAAAGAACCGGGACCAACCAATTTTGAATTATGAAACAAACTAAATTTTTCGTTCCCAAATGAACAAGAATAACCAGATTTGTTTCAAAGCAGAAATAAAAATCAAATTCCGTCTAAAATACGGTACAATAAATGTCTCATTAAAATCCAAATAAAATTCAATCTTTAACAATAATCTAAATTTGCCTATTGCCTTTACTTCCACCGTCTTACCGTCGCTAACATATATGTATCTTTCACCATCACTCAATTTTCGACAACTCAGGCAACCCTGCATAGACACACTGATGTGAGTTGTTGCACCATAATCTATCCACCATGTATGTCTAGGTACCAAAGTTAAATTAACTTTAGAACAAACCAAATGAAGAAGAATACCTTTCTTGGCACGTCATGTGAGGTAGTTGGTGCAATTCTTCTTCTTATGACCTGCAGCTCCACAGGAGAAATCACCACCCTCAGTTGGTTCTTTATGCTGTTTCTTTTGTGATGCTATACCTTGCAGCTTCCTTATCATTTTTCCTTTTCTTAGTCTTTTTATCCTTAGAAGTGGTGGCTAAATGAGCACTTTTTGTTTTGTCATACTTCAATCTTTCCTCTTTTTGGACACATCGTGAGATGAGCTCATTAAGGGACCATGAATCCTTTTGACAGTCGTAACTCACCTTGAATTGACTAAAATATATCGGAAGGGATATCAGAACCAAGTGCACTAACAAGTCTTCAGATAGATCCAACTTGAGTGCCTTTAGTTTTGAAGCAATATGAGACATTTGCATAATGTACTTCCGTATGTTTCCTTTCCCTTTATACTTCATTGAGACAAGGTTCGCCAAAAGTGTACTAGTTTCAGCCTTTTCATTCTGGGCAAACCTCTTCTCAAGGTCCTCAAGGCAACCATTAGACGTAGTCACCTTATCGGACATAGTGCCCCAAAATACTTATGGAATAACACGTTTCATGACCATTAAACTTATACGGTTCGATCATTCCCATTTTTCCATCTCCCTCTTATCATCAGAGGTACTCTTATATTATCAGTAAGTGCAATAGGTTGATCGACCCGTAAAGCAAGGTCCAGGTCCATGACTCCGAGAACAATCATCACGTTCTCTTGCCACGCCCTGAAGTTTGTACCATTAAGCATTGGAATTAAATTAATGTTAGCAGAGATATTAGCAGCAAAACCCGAAACTGAATTAGAGAACAATTAATTGGAATGACTCACATGAATATTCTTAATATGCAAATAATAATCTCAAATAATGGTAGGACCCATCACAAGATACCTAACACAATATCAATATTTAGTTTTTGGACAGAAATATTGACTTGTAAGTGGTACTCTTGGTGTAGTGATCAAACATTGACGATAAAATAATATATCAACCAATAAACATTTCTTTTGATCGATTTATTGATCACATATTAAACCAAATAATCGTCACATGTTTTTCACCACAGGTGCACGCACAATTCGCCTAAATATTGACATTCCTTTAGGCTGATCAATATTCACATGTACAACGCATACACAAACACCTTTTTAATATTCTAAGTCAATTAATTTCACAAGATAGGTTGCTTGTGTTGCTTCAATTAATTCACTTTCGAACGTTATACCTCTTAAAAGAGTCCTTAGTACCAAAATTTGAAAAAGAAAAGAAACCATTTTGCGTATTTTATTTAGTTTTTAATTTTAGGGGCCTAATGGTTAATAATTCAAATCTTTGGGGGCAAAAAGTAATAAATTTTAAACATTAGAGGCCAATTTGAACAAATTTGAAACTTTGAGGACTTTAATTACAAAATTCAGAACTTTAATGACCCAAATTAATTAATTTTTTAAACTTTAACGACTAAATTATTAAACTCAAAACTTAAAGGCCCAATTTGGATTAACTTTAAACATTAGGGACTCGAACTTTAAAATTGTAACCCTAACCCTAATTGCAAGAAGGGCCTCAAATTAATCAATTTACACATGAGGCCCCCGTCCCCAAAACTCACTCAAATCGTAAACCATAAAAAAATTCCTCTTATCCCTTGGTGGAGCTAGCCTACACCGGCACAGTCTAAATTGGTGCCCAACGAGCTGCTGCCTTACAATAGTGAGCAACACCGCTGCCAAAAAACCCAATATTTTTTTTTACACTTTAAAAATCTATAATCTTTAAAATCCATAATCTGAAATTCCTCAACTTTTTTAATCTGAATTATGGAAGATAACCAGGAAAAACATGCCGTAAAAGTTTTCAAATTCAACAAAATAAGATTCGAAATTATTAAATTTGAAAACATTGTAATTATCACAAGAACCAAATAAATCATTAGAGTGTTTATATACTTATTGCCTGTTAACCTAATTCGGCCCATCATAGAATTTGGAACAATCTCTACACATAAAAGCCCATACTTTAAATTAGATGCATCAAAGCCCAAAATATCGAAACCTTATTGGATCACTTTAATTGGGCTTAACTAAATTTGATAGCCTTTAATTTAGTACACAATAATTCACACATATAAGCTTATATGATCGATCAAAATTCCTTACAGAAATAACTACACTTCCCTCAGTTTCCATTTGCAAGTATGAAACTCAATGTGAATTACAGGTGTAGCAATAAATAGGAAAAGTTTTCCAAACTCTAATGGTCTTAATTATACATATGCATAGAGTCAGGTTCTTGCTGTGAATCCTCTACCTAATGCTGGCAAAGCTTATTCCATTACACATAAAGAAGAATGTCAACCGCTTCTCCATGTTTCGAAACAAACATCTCTTCCACAGATCTTGCATCCAATAGCAAATCTCATGTGGCAAAACCAGCACTTCAAAATCAGCAGAGCCTTTCACAAGGATGTAACAGACCTTAATTGTGATCACTGTGAAAAGTATGGACATATAAAGGCAAAATGCTTTGAGATTATTGGCTACGCTCAGAACTGGAAAAAACATATGCATTGGCCTTGTAGTGCTGCACCAGCAACTACTACACCAAGGCACCCAGGAGAGCATCAAATTCATGTTGATTAAAGCTCTACTACTACATCATCAAGTTCAATCCAAGTTCCTGGTCTCACAAAATAGCAATATAAGCAATTATTACTCTTCTTTCTACAGAATTGCTACCTTGTGCTTGAAACTAAACTGGCAAAAACCTTCCCTCTAGTAATATTTCAACATCTTGGATAATAGAAAGTTGAGAAATTTTCATCTGTTGTTAAGAAAGTTTGGTTTGTTCAATCTCATGCTGATCCTCGTTTGTGATCATCCATCTATCACAGTCTTGTTGATCTATTGTTTCCTCTTATTTCCATGTTATCTGAATTTAGCTGTAATGTTGAATGTATATATTTACACCACTGTCACGAAGTAATGAGAATACAAGCAATTGTTTCACAATTTGACAATATAACAATGACTGAATTGCAACAATTCCATGAACCCCTAGAGTAATGACAATTTCAAAAATTATTCATCACTGAACAAAATTGCATACCAAGTGGGCACCAAATTTGCAGCAATGAACAGCCAATATCCGGTGGAACCAAGAATCAAAGCGTTCTTCGTCCCAAGATTCCTCACCACCAATGAAGCAACCACCGAAAAAACTGCAAACGATACATATAATATCCCCAGCGATATGGTACCCAAATCTCCTTCCTAGGAAAACCAAAGAAAAAATTATCAGAAATAATGACCAAGTCCCTTGTGAGGAAGGGAATTGGAACCAAAAACACCAGAAACTTTTGGCTGAGCTCTTGCCAGTTCACCAACACAGACGTAAAATCCCAAATAAAACTGACCAAGATACACCTTTCACATTCAGATGAATCATCAAAAATGAAAAACTACTAAGAAAATCTGAAATCTTGAAAATATGGAAACTCACAGTATTGATGGTACTTTCTAAGTTTTGGACAGCACCATAAGCCAAGAAAATCAGAAGGAAAGCCCAGCTGAGAATATGAATATCTCTTTTGTGATTCAAAGTATGAGTTGGTGAAGAGCTTCCAACAACCAGTGCGGTTTCTTCTTCCATGGCCATTGACCAGCAGGACGCACTCTAATCCGATGAGTATTAGCAGGGGAGATCGAAGAGAAGAACAGTGGGTGACTAATTTTGAGTTTATTAAGGCTATGGTAGATTATGAATTTTAAAACAAAAACATGAATAAAAATTGAAAAGAAGAAGTGTTATCAAGTGGCCAAATCAAATCGAAATTGTGGTTCTGAAACTCTGAATATGATTTTTATGTGATTTAGCCATCATTTTAAAATTGAATTAAACAGTTTACAAATAAATTAATCTAAGCTTTATAATCAAAAATCGTTTAAAACCAAATTGAATAGTTTACCTTATATATATATATTTTTTTTAAATTACTTGTTTTATTTAAAATACCTTATTTATTAAAATAATTTTATTCTTTAATAAATTTATTTGTTAGTCAACTCCTATCAAGACATCAAAAAATATTAATGTTATTTAGATATGATTTTTCTTATCTAAAGAACATCGCAAGTATAAATTTTGAATAGCGTTATTTGTACATAATTGAGTTATATAATTATTTATATAAAGATAATGTGTCAAAAAAGAGTGAATTTTTTTTTTTGGTTGGTTGAAAAAAATCTGAATCAATCATATCTCACCATATCTTATATATGTAAACCATTATATACGTATAACATAATCGATAAATTTTATGTTTAAACCTTGTATTATTTTATACTTAGATTAATTTATTAATATAATAATTTTATATTTAAAATTTTTGAATTTATATAATTGAATTGTATGGTCAATATATTTATTTTAAACTTTTTTAATATATGTTATATTTTTTTGCCACTAAAATCGTGTTTTATAATCAAATCAAACTGCAAAAGATGATTTAATTTGAACCAAAAAAAAAAAAAAAATGATTTAGTGTGATTTGAAATTTTGTCAAACTTTTTAGAATGATTTGATTTAAAAATAGTTCAATAATTATCCAACTCTCTACCTAATCAGTACTATTAAATTATTTATTGGGATTACAAATGATGAGAAGAAAAGTACAATAATTTTTTTTATTCTTTAAATCAAACTCTGAAGAATATATTTTCTCTTTCGAGCAACGCCCTTTGATGAGATTGGTACTCCTTGAATTTCAAACATAATTGATTTCTCGTTTTTTAACATTGGACATGTATCTTCTTGTACCACCTAGGATATATGGGTTAGCGTCTTTTGAACCCTATTATATCACATTATATAAGAGGAATAATAACTTTTTGGAAAATGTGTGATTAAAAAAGAAAGAAATTTTTTTGGATTTACTTGTAATATTATTTTATTAAAAAATATGCGATTGATAAGAACAGATAAAAACGAATTATAATTTAATGGGAAATAATGAATGCCAATACAAGTGTGTGCACGTGCACACATCGCATAAGTGGGTCTGAAATAAGTTAAATATAAAATTATTATATTAATAAATTAATCTAAGTATAAAATAATACAAGGTTTAAACATAAAATTTATCGGTTATGTTATATGTATATAATGGATAACAACTTTGAATTTTTATGTTTCGGATTCACTAACTAAAACCAGCTTTGTTGCAAGCTTGAAAATTGAAATGGCCATCGAAATTATTCAATTACATGAGCAAAGCCTTCTAATGTTTTGAAGATGTATATGTAATATTCAAAAACTGGGAATCAGGTTACTTCATTTCTACTGGTAATGTTCGAAAATGTTGTAAAAATGTCTGGAAACATTTCTCGATTGGTCAAGTTTGGGTCGAGTTGAGAATCTCTTTATTATTTGGCAACAATAACTGAACTTGACTAGAGTGAATCCACTTGGGAAAAACAATCACTCTATTTGACCACTTAATGTTGCAAAATAATGGAGAGATGGAGAAGAGACAGAAGAAACAACGATATGAAGAAATCACAAATATTATCGATAATAATTTTGAAGGCTCGAAAGCGGGATCACTATCCTTAAACGTTATTTGCACCCTCTCCAATGTTTTGAGATATTTAAGGGTATTTCTACAAATGGTTTGAAGGATTATAACAAACTTTGTTGCAGAAAATACTAAAGCACAAAGTATTTTCCACCAAAACTTGAATAACACGATAAGAAAATGAATATGCACGTGAATGTAATTCGGGACTTTGTAGGATGATTTTGGATCTCATGTGTTATTCTACTATGTTTCCCTTGAATCATGGCTCCTCTATATATAGATCTCGTCCATATACTTGAACTAGCACCAAAAGTCGAGTGAAAACTCACCAAATTCAAATTTACAACATTAAAAAACGGACACCAACGGTCACATAGAAGTACCATGCGACCGCATGGAGTAAAATTTTTTGAGCCCCAATTCTTGGTATATTCGCATGGCCAATTAGCCTATGTGATCGCATGGCTCATCTTGCAACCATCTTCCTGTTTTCATTCCATATACTGCATATGTTGATTTTGAACAACATCTTCTAACACTTAAAACACTCTAGCAACCACTCTTATTTCAATATGAAATCTTGAACAATTCAATTAAGGTCAACAATTAACCTCCATACGTAAGTTTATAGCATCGTTAATAGTAGCTTAATCGACATTGTCTATCAAGAATACCATTAATTCTTTGTATTGCATGTTACCCTTTTTGGAAATATTTGCGTGAGCACTACACAAACTTATTAAAATTTATCTTCGAGCCACATAAATCAACGGGTTCCATGGAATTCATCTCAAGATACAATGCACTCCACATATTGTGTAAATTATATCCATACTTCACTTCTGAAGATAATTCCAATACTCTACTTGTTTTAAGCCTTTCAAGATTTCTAAAATCGTATATGCATATTACAATTCCAGATTTCTATTTTGTATATTCAGTAGAAAATTTATTAAGGGAAAGAGAAAAATTATTGATACTTTTTGCGGTGATTTTGTCATAGATCCAATCCATCATGCGAGTATGCTCACTTTATATCAATAAATTATACAAAATTTAAATTGACTCATGTCAAACCGTCATACTGAAAAGCTATAGTGCAAGCTCATGTTGGCCATTTCCCAGACTTTTTCTAATGACAAATTTCACCATACATATCATACACCAAATTTAAACAAATTTCCATGTGCAAACCTTTGGACTCGCTAGCACTACATACCTTTTATAATGGAAACTAGCAGTGTTGGGTTTTTTATACCTAATAATCTCGGGCGATGATGTTAAACAGTGTCGAATAGCCAGATTAGATTTCATAAGTTTCGATCGATGATTGAAATATTTATTATCACACTCGATTAATTGGCTCAACCCGAAAAATAACTTGAGGGTCGTTTGAAGCAACTTAATATAGTTAATATTGCTCATGGCCCATTTACTTCTTGGATTGCTCTCTTTTGTGTTCCGTCCCCTTTAACCATTAGTTGGTCCATGAGCTCACTATATTAGTCCACCACTATTACAACTTAAAACTATATATTGGCCTCGTTGTTGAATAAGCCGTGTGTGTGTACAATTGAAGAAAGAGGCCGCCGACTTTTCTCCTGTTTTCTCTCTTGAGCCTTGAAATTGAACCTGTCTTCCTCTACTCTTGGCTTTTCATTGCAGCCACCATATTGTGTTCTTTGTGAACACATTGAGTTGAGAAACCGAAGTAAGAACTGTTGTTGGGTTGGAGCCATACTTGGGTGTGTTTAATAAAGTTGAGATTGGTGAAATTGAGCCCGAAAAATCCACTATCAGAGGTCGACTCTTCAACATTTGGTTTTAGAGCAAGGTTGGGGTGGAATTTTCGGCCAAAATTCGACCAGAAATTGGCAGAAAATAGAAAAATCGAACTGCCAATTTTTGTACCAAAAAATCGCACACACAAACTCAATTTTTCGTCAATCTAGAAGTCCATTGGTGAAACGAAGACCAGGGTTAAGATGTGCAGGTGGAGGCGGTGTTGGGTGTGTGGCACGTGTTCCCGACGGCGGCGTGTGGCATCTCCAACGGGGTGAGTGAGGGCGCGTGGCTCCGATTCTAGAGAAGTTGTCTTCAGACAGTTTGTTCTCCACATTATTTTTGACATTTTTTGTGTTGAAAGTTTTTTTCAGAGCCTGCAAAAGAATCTGGATATCGTTGTTCTTCGGGCGTTCGAGACTCGATCGTGATTTCTTCGTTACTGCAGTTTTCAGAGATTTTAGGACGAATAGTGGTGGTCCTAAAGTGATAAATTCGCATCTCACATAACTTACTGACTCAAGTAGGTCCGCTCTGGTATATTGGCTTATCTCAATTTAAATTTCAGTATTAGCAGATCATCGTGTGGGGTGATCGTTAGGATTGGGGATTGTCATTGGTTGACAACCATTGCTTGTGCTAAATATTAGGATTACTTGCTCCTTTGTGATTGAGTACTTATTTTTGGATAAATTAGCGTATTATGCTTTGTGCTAAAATTGCCGTGAATTTTCGTTTGATTGGATATACCTATTTTGTTGTATCATAAATTCTGCTGTGTTGTTACTTTCATCAGAATACCTAGACCTTACCTGTTCGAACATTCCCTTGATCTAAGACCACGAGTCTTACGAAACCCTGAAAATCTAGAACGATGTATATTGTGGCCGTAGGATTACTTTGTGTGATCTATTTGTGCATTTGATTGCTTTGTTTTTTCAAAAATGTTTTCGCATTTTGAAGTTGGTATTTTCAATGGAAAATGTGATTTTTCAATCTGGCAAAAAAAAAATGGTATTTTAGTTCAACAAAAGATTTCAAAAGCCATTGAAGATAATTTTTCAGCTAATTTTTCAAAAGAACAAAAAAAAGAAGCCGATGAGCTTGCTTATACCTCAATCATTTTACATATGTGTGACGCTATTTTGAGAAAAGTAGTAAAATTGAAAACCACAAAAGATCTTTAGAAAAAGTTGGAAGATCTATATTTGCTTAAATTCACTCCCAATAAACTTTATCTTTTTGAGCGTTTCTTCAGTTTTAAAATAGATCTTTCAAATGATCTTGATGACAATTTGGATGTTTTCAATAAACTTGTCTAAGATATTGTTAACTGTGAAGAAACTGTATCTGAAACATATAAGGCTATTATCCTGCTTAATTTCATGCTTGAGTCATATAAGGAAGTTAAAAATGTTATTAAGTATGGTAGGGATACGTTGACCCCCCGAGATTGTCATAAACTCACTTAGGAGTAAGGAGATGAAAATTAAGGTTGAAAATGAAGATAAGAGGAGTGGTGAGTTACACATGATAAGGAGCGGAATGAAGTTTAAGCAAATGAATTTGGGTAGAGCTCAAAATAGTGGTGATTCGAGTAGTAACTCGAGTGATGAAAGTGGTAAAATGAAGGGCAAGGGACGGGATAAGTCTAGTGGTAGACGGTGTTATAGTTGTGGTAAGTCTGGACACTTTATTAGGGATTGTCCTAAGAAGAAGGATAAACAGAAGGGTTATGTGAGAGGTGAAATGAATGTGGTTGAGGGGTCGAGCTATGACCCCAATGAGGTTTATTGAGATAGTAAACCCAGTCACTGAAATGTATCTGTGTGTGACCCTTTTCTGAGTGGTAATTTGTTGCATGATTATATGTTGCATTTCAATTTGTTTGATATATGTGTTTGCATGAATTTGAGGTAATGTGATTATTGGGTGTGATTGTTTGCATACATAGTGGGTTTATGATGCATTAACAGTGTGTTAGATGTTTTTTGATAAGGTGGAGCATAGATGCCTAGGGATACATGATATTTTGTACCGGGGGATATAGAGTGTGACATTTGAATCACGAGTGGAGATGTGATCAAATGTGTAGAATCATTTATCTGTGAAAGAGATCCTGTACAGGTGGAGTGCGAGAGAGTCATTTCTATCACTTCTGTAAGGTGGAAGTCCATTATCCACATAGGTTGGAAGAAGTGATGTAGTGATAGAGGATTATCCCGTGGATTTAGGATTTATTGTGACTTACCAGTTAGACATGAGTTGAATGGTCTATTTAGTGAGCATGGTGGGCGATGAAAGGAGGTACGTGTTGTCGAGGTGGGAGTAACACGAAATGGGATATGATAAGTATGGTGAGATCTTGCATGGGGTCACTTATGCATTTGTTGCATATGTGTTTGACCGTATGCTGATTAACTTGGTGTTAATCTTTGGTTCTTTGTGAACGTGAATTTCTTAAAAGATCTGTGTAGTATCCTATATAATATTTTCATCGTATGATTATTTGTTCGCTGTGATACTTGCCCCTAATTGGGTTTTTTTGGACCTTAGCCCCGGTGAGTAATGAGCAGGTATGGTGTGTGTTTCGGTTTGAAACACGAGGTAAGGTCTGAGATATCAATTTTATTGGATTACCTTGATTGTGCAAGTTTAAACTTTGTGTTTTGGTTACTTGCAGATTATTGGGTATCAATGTGGAGATTGTTGGGTTTTTGATACCCAATAATCCCGAGCGATGATGTTAAACAGTGTCGGATAGTCGAATTAGATTTCATAGGCTTCGGCCGATGATTGAAATATTTATTAACACGCTCGATTAATTGGCTCAACCCAAAAAACAACTTGAGGTTCGTTTGAAACAACTTAATATAGTTATTGTTGCTCATGGCCCATTTACTTCTTGGATGACCCACTTTTATGTTCCGGCCCCTTTAACCATTAGTTGGTCCATGAGCCCACATATTAGTCCACCACTATTACACCCTAAAACTATATATTGGCCTCATTGTTGAATAAGCCCCGTGTGTGTGCACAATTGAGAAAGAGGCAGCCGACTTTTCTCTTGGTTTCTCTCTTGAGCCTTGAAATTGAACCTGTCTTCCTCTACTCTTGGTTATTCATTGTAGCCACCATATTGTGTTCTTTGTGAACACATTGAGTTGAGCAACCGAAGTAAGAACCGTTGTTGGGTTGGAGCCATACTTGGGTGTGTTTAATAAGGTTGAAATTGGTGAAACTGAGCCCGAAAAATTCACCATCGAAGGTCAATTCTTCAACAAGCAGCATTGCACAAGGATAGGCAAATATTTCTTAATAGGTATCATTGTCACTCCTGAAAAGATTCACGTTCTTAGTAAGACCTTCAATATCTCTATGTAGTAAAATCAAGCACTTTGTTGAGATTGCTTTACAGTTTGAACAATTTTGTCAGATGAGCCTAGATAGTCTACACATCAAACAAATTTATTTTTATCAAAGATATCGATATTTTGATTGCCATGTCAGAATTTTCAGATGAAATATTACTTCCACCAATCAATCTTCTTTCTTATGAAATTTGTTTACTTATAACTTCATAAAATTTGTTGTATCTTTCACAATATATCAAATACTCATATGAAAGTGAAATAGACAAATGAGTCTTAGCCCCTATTTGAGCACCATTTTTCTCATTATTTCCCATTATTTTTTCTGCAATACTCATTTTCAACCACACATTTTTCATTAAAATAATATTACACGCAAATCAAAAAATTTCTTTGTTTTTTAACTATACTTTTTCCATCAATTTACTATTCAAAAATACATTACTAGAAATTAATGGGACTCAAATAGGGGCTTAATGATTGCTCATCATCATCATCAATTTAAACTCAAAAATTCTCTTTTTCAAATTCAACTCAGAAAAATACTAAGATGGTTTGAAATTTTGTACTTGCGTCCATTCGCAAAGAATGAAATTATTCATTCACGTAAAATCCATATGAAATTCTTCGACTGATATAACTATTTTCCAGTTTTTCTTTTTCTTTTTGTTTCAAATCTCCAACTCATATATATTCTGTTTGAGTAATGCTATGGGTACAAGAACCCCATTACAGATACGATATAGGATTTCAAAAATTGATGACGTGGCATAAAAATTAGGTTGACTAAAACAAAAACGCGGGATGGGACAACAATTCCTAAACCATTTCCCCCAAAATTGGAGTCGAGTCCCGCCGCTGGCGACTCACCCATATCCGGCCAAATTTCTGGGCAATTAACAGGCGCACCTTTGAGCTGCAAATAGGAAGTCGACGCCATTTTCATAGAGAATTCTGAAATTTGCACTCACTGATAATGGCAGACAAAGGTAATCTCCCATCTTCTTTCTTGGGTTGTCAATTTCTTAGCTTCTCTGTGTCTCCACACACATAAAAGCAGCTCATTCATGGTTGCCCTAACCCTCATTCATGGCTACCCAAAAATAATCGCGTTATATTACTCTCTTCATTTTTGCATCTTTTTTTTCTGGATTTCTTCTTCAGCACAAAGTATAAGTCTTGCTTACATAAATTGTTCTTGTTTGTGCTTTGTCCTTGAACTGGTTGCTATTTTGTTTATTGGGTGGGTAAGCAATTGACCGAGCAGCAATGGAGGAGGGTTAGCTTAAACTTGTGTTCAATTTTGCCTGCTGTATGTTGAGTTTTGTTTAAGGTTCTAAATGCTTTTGTGAATGATCTGTTTTAATTGTTTTTTGTGCATAGTCTGTGTTGGAAATTTAGGGTGCTCCAAATATTAGGATTAAAATTAAATTCGACAGAATTGGATTTGTTCTGATATTCATTTGGCTGCACTGGAAATTGCAATTTTGATTATCTCCATGCATATATCTTTGTTGTTTTCTGTACATAAATAGACACTGTTATAGTGTTAACGAGCACTACTAACTTATACATCTCTCATTTTTTACAGTACCCAAGAAAAGAAATAATGGAAGATGACAATCATGATTTGTTGGTCGACTGTGATGACGAGAATATGCATGATAATTTGAACATATTGGGCAATGAGAACATAGGAGGAGATGTTGCAACTCTGCCTGAAGTGGGCATGATGTTTAACGACGACAAAGAAATGTTGGAGTTCTATAAAAAATATGCTTACGCTGTAGTCTTTCCAATTCGAAAAAGGAATTCAAAAAAGGGTGACGATGGAGTAATGAAATATGTGACGTTCACATGTAGTCGTGAAGGTCGAAGAAATTTTGCTACAGGCAGTTCCATGAAGCCGTAACCAACAAGTCAAACAGACTGTAACGCAAGAATATCTGCATCGTTAGATAATCTTGGATTTTGGAGAATTAACAAAGTGTACCTCGAGCATAATCATAACACAAGTCCCTCGAAGTCTAGATTGAATTGATGCAACCGAAGTTTGAGTGCGAGTATGAAGCGAAAACTCCAAGTGAATGATATGACAGAAATCCCCTTCCACAAGTGTTACAATTCCGCAGTTGTGGAAGCCAGGGGATACGAGAATACGACTTTTGTGGAGAGGGATTGTCGGAATTATGTTGAAGAAGTGAGATGATTACGCCTTGGAGAAGGAGATGCCATTGTATTACAGGCATACTTTTCAAAAATGCAGGCACGGTACTCGAAATTTTTCTTTCGTATGGACTTAGACGATGAGTCACGACTAAAGAATGTTTTCTGGGCAGATAATAGATGCAGACACGCTTATAAGGAATTCGATGATGTTGTCACTTTCGATACTACGTACCTTACAAACAAGTACAACATGCCTTTTGCCCCCTTTGTTGGGGTAAATCATCATGGATAAAGTACACTGCTCGGCTGTGGGTTGTTATCTAACGAGGACACGTGGACTTTTGTGTGGTTATTCAGGATGTGGCTTGAGTACATGCATGGTGAAGCACCTAGTGGAATCATTAATGATCAAGATTGGGAAATGCAAAACGCTATTGAGATTGTTTTTCCTACAACAAAGCATAGATGGTGTCTGTGGCACGTTATAAAGAAAATTCCAGAAAAGTTTGGGTACCACATTCAGAAAAGCTCGATTTTCACTGCTATACTTAGATTAGTATATAATTCAGATACTGTTGAAGAATTCTAATGAGGTTGGAGGTCGATGCTCGACATATATGACTTGCATGATAGTAATTGGTTATCAAGATTGTACGAGAATAGGGATCGTTGGATTCCATGTTATTTGAAAACCACATTCTAGGCAGGGATGTCAACAACCCAACGTTCAGAAAGTATGAATTCATTTTTTGATGGGTACGTGCATTCAAAAGCCTTGTTGAAGCAATTCGTGGAACAATACGAACGAGCACTGAGAAATAAGGTTGAGAAGGAGTTTCAAGCCGATTTCAAATCATTTTCCCAAATGGTGCCTTGTGCAACATGTTTTAAGATGGAAAAGCAATTTCAAGCAGTCTATACCATTACAAAGTTTAAAGAATTTCAACAAGAGTTAAATGGAAAGGTATATTGTGACATATTATCTGAAAATACCAATGATTGTTTTTCGACGACCTACGATGTGTGAGAATCTGTCGTATATCAAGAGCATAAGACGAACAAAACTTTTAATGTGTCATTTCGAAGGGAGTCATGCGAATTGAGTTGTAGTTACCACTTTTTTGAGTTTTGCGGTATCCTTTGCAGGCATGCGATTGCAATATTGATTCGCAACAACATTACAACGATGCCGGATAGTTACATACTCAGGAGGTGGAGGAGAAATGTCAATAGAGCACACTCAAGGGTTGCGATAAATTACGATGGACTAGCGAGTACCCCCGAGCAGATGAGATATGACGACATGTGTCGAGCTTTTTCAGAGGTCGTAGACCTCACGGCAAGCAATGATGGGTTGACACGTAGTGTAATGGACTGGATAAAATCACAAGCATCAAATCTGTGGATGTCAATATCGAATATCGGAAACACTAGTCGTTCGCTAAATAATGCGAACATAGCCTCAACTTGTAACGATTCACAAAATACTAGCAGTGCCAGCATATTAGACCCTGTATTGTCTAGCTGAAAGGGTGCACCAACGAAATGTCGACGGAAAGGCCCATTGGAGAAGGTATTTTTTACAATTATCCTCTTAATATATTACAAATTATAGGCCACAAAATGATTATTTTTAATTATGAACATGCAGGCAACTTCAACGTCAAACAAGGGAAAAAATCGAGAACTCGCCCTCGTTGTACACAAGAGGGAGCAACAACCATCCATGCATCTCAAACATCACAATGTTCTGCGCCTTCACCATTATCATATTCACAGCACCCATTGATGAGTACATTGTATTAGTGCGGCTACTTGGTCAAAGTTGCTAAAAATTGTGTTTTCTCATTAGGCTTACAATAACAGTCAAACGTTGCCACCAACAAATGTTACAGTCAATGCTGAAGGAAATACATTGGTTGAGTTTTATAGGTATTTATGTGCGATCATTTCATATATTGCAACATTTTAACTTCTATCTTTTCACCTAGATCATGTCATGACATACTACTATCAACATTTGCCCAATGAAGGTCACACACGCTTGTGACTCTATGATTGAAGGTATGTTTTATTTGTCCTCGGATGGTTTAAATTTCTACCAAATCTGTGTTTCTGGTTTATGAAGCGTCAATTAATCATTAAATCACTAATAGAAAATAGTTTCTGCCCTTATCATTATTTTGTAAGAAATAAGGTTTATGCCCTTGTTGGAAGTTAAATTTAATTTCTTGAAGGATATCCATTGCCAACATGTTTACACTATTAATAATTTGTCAGATTTGTATATTCCATTATTCACTCAACAATTGTTGATGAATGGAGGGAGGCGAGTGCCGCGTCGGGTATGTTGGTGAATGCGGCGTTGGATTTTCTGTTCGCAGGCAGCAATTGTTGACATCGACGGTGAAGGGGGTGCTCACATCGACGATGACGATGATCGAGAGTATAGGAAGATTGGTTTGGGGAAGATATTTCTTGCGTGAATTGGAGGAAATGGAAGACTTTGGATTTGGGGAAATGGAAATATGATTTCAAATTGATTAGTTGTGTTATTATTATTATTTCCACCATGCCACGTCAGCATTATTTGAAACCCTGTACCCTTCTGTATCAAGTTTCCTGTACCCGTGGCATTTTTTACTCTATTTACAGTTAAAATGAAGTACTGTGATAAACAAACACATATCGTACTTTCACTCTCAAATCTAAATCCACTCTATCCTCATCTATTCTAACCTGAATTATAATATGATTTAGCCATGGTTTACAACTATTAAAATAAAATTCTTTTTTTCTTAAATTCATTTTTAATCACATATTCTCACAGTAAATATTTTGCACATAAATTCAAAAAAAAAAAAATCTACTTTTTAACCACAAATTTTCCCCCAAAAAAAAAAAAAAAAATTCCTCATTTTAATGGTATTCAAATATATCCTTATTAGCGTCCCTACTGATTTGGTTTCTCAACAGCTGCTAGTAATAATTGTTGATCTTCCTTCTTCAATCAATCTAAAATGTTCACTATTATTTTCATTTTTATTTATTAGCATGTGAATACTAGGAAAACAAAAGGAGAATACCACATTTTCAAAAAGGTTGAATCACAATCTTGAGAGTCCCTACCGCCCCAACCCTAAAGTATCGTGAGGGAACAAGAGTTTGTTTGTATACTGATGCCCACAAAGAGTCAATTTCCATATCTCAGGAATCGAACCCTCACACTGCAACTGTCAACAAGGCTAAGACTACTTCACTCCTATTCTTTGTACCACCGGATTATATCCCGGGGGCTAAATACCATCATTCAAGGAAAACAAAAGGAAAAGTAAAAAAATACCACATTTTCAATAAGAAAGAGAGAGAGAGATGATTGGTTGCACAAAGTCTATTGCTTTGACTCTAGTCTGCATTCACCATCCCACAAAGTAAACACGTATTTTTTGCTCCGTCAAATTTTTGGAAAATTCCGCCAGATGCTTTCCCAGTTTTTACGCTATACCTACTTACTTAATATATTCGATAATTCAAATTTATTTATATAATGATTGTATTCAAATTTGCTTCATTATTTATTACTCATTCTATCTATTTATAATTTAAATCTTTTATGAATACTTTTCAAATTTGAATCTTCACAAACAAATGACAACATAAAAATAAGGATTACAATCAATCCAGTGAGAACATATCAGAGAGTATAGAAATGATTTTTCAAAAACATTTAAGGACATGTTGGGCACCATTAAGCCAGAAAACAAAAATGTATAACAAATGTGCAAGTTCTTCAATCCTCTCAGTCATTCAACATTTAAAATCGATACGTTAATTAAATTAGATAAAATTGAAAGAAAAATAAAATGTTTAATCTAATTTTTTCTGATTTTATCGGGTTCAAAATTTCAAATATATTTATTTTCAAGAATTTCTTCAGATTATATCAAAATATTTCAAGAACTTATATTATATTACGAAGAAAAAGGGTTTTCACTATGCATTGAACCCTATTAGTGATCCAATTAGGCTGAAAATTATAAATTGTTAACTTTCTATTGATCGGTTTCACAAAAAATGTAATTAATTACATATAAAAAAATAAAATTGCTACAAATATTCTTGCAATATTAATTTATATCCTTATCCCAATAAATTATATTTATATCGGCCTTAATCTAACATTATATAGATTTTTTAAAAAATACTATTAATTAGTTAATTGAGTATTAGAATTTTAATTTTTCAAAGTCAACGAATTTGGTTCCGAACAAATTTTTTGACCTGCCATTTGTTGGCTTGTTCACGTTGCCTCCATTTTATTTTACTAAAATTCTACTTTTTCAAGAAATGAGTTATTGATTAATGTATAGCTTTTGTGGATATCACAAAATCGAAACGGGTGATTAAAATTAGAGTAATGCTATTCGTAGTCGCTCACTGCGGCAGTCGACCTACGTAGCATACACATGGCAGGTGATTATTTGATACATTAATGTTGTAGTTTTTTTATTCATTAATATATCAAATAACCACCTACCATGTGTATGCCACGTAAGGTGACTGTTGTAGTGAGCGACTGTAAATAGCATTATTCTTAAAATTAATGTTTAACTTAAAAAATAGAATTTTAGCAAAAGAAAATGAAATCCAAATGGAACCAATGTAATAAAAAAATAATTCATTTGATATTTTTTTCTTATGTAGAACGTGTAATGTATCATCACTATCATTGGCCCAGTTCATTTGTTGAGTCAAAGCATTATGAGATCTTGAAAAATGTAACAATTTGTATGAAACTGCCCTTGTTACAAACCAAAATATTACCTAGAAGTTGTTTCGTTTGAACCAGGATACGGGTTGATTTTTCTTTCTCATGAAATTATAAGTGGCGTAAGTCAGTGAACCTTTTTTACATTAGACAGACGTTTAAACGTTGATCAATCAAAAAATGGAAGCTAGTAGACAAAAATCACTCATAGATCAATCAATCAAAACGGAAGCTAGTCGATGATTCATTGCAAATGAAGTTCGGTCAAATATAAAAATTGTTGAACCTTGTCCGACCTTAATGGTAAATTCACCGTGAATGTGGTTAGGTTGTTATTGTATACCACGCGGCAATTTCAATAATAATAAAAAAGTACATTTATAATTGTGTTACCTTTATAAACGTATATGTACTTAATCAGAATAAATACTCTATTTCTTTCAAAGATTGAACTCAATTTCACAATCAAGATGTCCTAGAGATAGGTATCATACATATGTGCACGTCAATCCAGATTCGTTTCACGTTCTTGTAAATTTTCAAACAGTCTTGTCGTTGTTGTTGATGATGAGTACAATTATGTTGTGTTTATTAAAAATCTATTGACTCATAACCAAGAAATTTCATTCACTAAGGGTGTGTTTGATTACATTTATTTTCCATGGAAAATATCAGTTTTCCATTCAAATTTCTACTTGGAGTGTTTGATTGCTATTTTTTTTCATGGAAAACATTTTCCAACTTTTGAAAATATGCCTAATTTTCCTTGTTTTTAAGGAAAATATTTTCCTTGGGTAGAGGTGGTTTTTATTTTTCACAAAAGATGGAAAATATTTTCTTTTCTAGGTAATATTTTCCATGTCAATCAAACACACTCTAATTTCCCATCAAATCGAAATTTTTCCAAAGTCAATGTTCCACATTCAAACCCGTTGAAATACATGGTTTCCTACCCTATCATTTTTCCCTGGAATCCCGACAGCTCAAGTAATTTACACACATCAAAAATTAAATAAGGTCTTAATATTCCAATCTACAAATTTCTATAACAAGCACTCCATCCTCCTAAAATTTTACCTCCAGATTTCCAAATTATTCGGCGATAGGTATCAATGACGATGATCACCTTTCAACCGTCGAAGAAACAATTATGATCTTAACAGTAAGATCATGCTCACATCCATAATTTCATTATCATTTGTGGTGTTTCTTGTCACCATCCTCTACATATATGCAAGATATGTCCTTCGCCGCCAAGCACGGCGTCAGGCCACCTTGCGTCACCTAGGCTTCATTACTCGTTTCACGTTCTTGTAAATTTTCAAACAGTATTGTCGTTGTTGTTGATGATGAGTACAATTATGTTGTGTTTATTAAAAATCTATTGACTCATAACCAAGAAATTTCATTCACTAATTTCCCATCAAATCGAAATTTTTCCAAAGTCAATGTTCCACATTCAAACCCGTTGAAATACATGGTTTCCTACCCTATCATTTTTCCCTGGAATCCCGACAGCTCAAGTAATTTACACACATCAAAAATTAAATAAGGTCTTAATATTCCAATCTACAAATTTCTATAACAAGCACTCCATCCTCCTAAAATTTTACCTCCCGATTTCCAAATTATTCGGCAATGGGTATCAATGACGATGATCACCCTTTCAACCGTCGAAAAAACAATTATGATCTTAACAGTAAGATCATGCTCACATCCATAATTTCATTATCATTTGTGGTGTTTCTTTTCACCATCCTCTACATATATGCAAGATATGTCCTTCGCCGCCAAGCACGGCGTCAGGCCACCTTGCGTCACCTAGGCTTCATTACAAGCGCCGCCAATATCCAGTCGATGGAGCTACCAAAGACCGGCCTCGACCCATCTGTCATGGCGTCGTTGCCCATATTTGTGTTCAAGCAAACAAATGGAAATAGTAGTGATGAAATGGGGTCAAGTTCAATGGAGTGTTCAGTTTGTTTGAGCATGCTAGAAGATGGTGAAATGGCTAGGACCTTGCCAAATTGTAAGCACACTTTCCATGCTGAGTGCATTGACAAATGGTTTGGATCAAACTCAACCTGCCCCATTTGCCGGGCAGAGGCCGAACCCCGGCTGTGGCGGAGCCACGGGAGGGCATGGCCGGTGCCACCGGAGCCCGCCTTCTGCTCCGCCACTCCATGGTGGTAACTCTATGATTATGACAACCACGGAAGGGACATCAGATGGTGGAATTTTATCCACAGCTAAAATTGTTGGATCAAGTTCAAGAGTAGAGAAAGATCATCTCGAAGAATCCAATCCTGTGGTCAAGAAGATGGATTACCAGATATTGAGAGGCAATAATTATAATATATCAAGGTACAAACATCCATATAGCATTTGATACTTCATATATTGTTTCCATTTGTATCCAATTCACAGAATGAGAGATTAGACATATAGAGGCGAATTCTCGATTCCAGGGGATGTCACTCCATAAGATTCGACAGTAAAATATATAAAATTTGACATCAATGTGATCATATGCTATAGTATTCATGTTTACCAAAGGAAAAGAGCGTTTTTTTTTTTTTTTTTTTTTTTTTCCGGTTAAAATTTTTTTTTTTTTTTTAAAAGATTCTGGGCTTTTCTTTAGTTGGGCCTTTAAAAAAAATCAATGGCCTCGATAAATCATTATTTTATACGTATAACATAACCAATAAATTTTATGTT